TGTTTTCAAGTATATGAACATTTCAGACATGAATATTGAGAAAATCTTTACCTTTGAGATTCTACGCAATAATACTATTATGTTGTGCATTACCGGTATTCAATTAAGTGCCCATCGATATTATTTAGAACGTGTATTCATTATACATTGTCATTGACTGTATAAGGTGCTACATCACAGAATAGATGGCTACGCTCAGTACAAAGAGCGAAACAACTATTAAACATGCAGAAGCGGGTATTAAACGTTTGTACGGCGTTTACGAAGAAAATAACTTGCGAGACTAAAGAAATCAGTTGAGTCAGAGCTTCTTATTTAAATAAGAAAGACGAGGAGATAGCCATTGCGTTATCGCCAACGTGTTATCGCCAATCGCTTGGCTCGCCAACAAGCTTTATGCAATAGAAAAAAAAAGCAAGGAGGTACATGTAGCCAACGTGTACCGTCACGGGCCTTGTCTTTGTTTACTGTCTAGCACAACGCCGTTGTCAACGGTGTAAACTCTTGTTCAGTGCAACGATAACTCTACCAGATCTTACGAGAATCAATCTGTAGTATTCTGTACACAGAACTGTTCAAAGCTTGTCAAAACTGCTTTAAACTGCTCTACACTGCTTAATTGTTTAACTATTGAAATCTAATGTGACATTATTCAACACATGCGAAAAGCCGAAAATAGACGTGACACTGGGAAAAGTCAAAGGTCAATGAAACTTGTTATTGTGAAGCCAATCTCGTTCCCAGAGTATGCCTGTTCGCGGGTTAGGTTGTGGCATGACCCGCGAACAGGCATACTCTGGGAACGAGATTGTTGTGAAGCATGTCACAATTAGGTTAAAATGCGGAAGCGGATGGAGCGGATCCACGGAACGGATATGCGGATAGAATACGGAACGGATGAGGATAAGATGCGTCCTTTTAATGATGTAACGACGTAGTGCTTATTATACATAACATATCTTACACAGCTATGTCAATTATAGGTTTAGATAAATTTAGCATAGCAGTAGCCTCGTGGGAAGCTTTTAGCGACAGCTGCAAATGCAAATGAAAACTTAGAATATGCAAAATTTGGTTGTTTGTGAAACTATTTAAATTTTGAATTGTCTCGTGTAGCATCGTAATAAATAGATGAATTGCATCAGTTTCACAAGTCACGTTTCTGGTGTGTTAGGCTTTAGTTGTTTCAAACGTCACGCTACTCGTGTGCCGAGCGTATTAAAAGCAATAAATGAGATGAAATGCCTTTGGTAACTGTTTATTTCGTAGTGTAAGCCATCAGCTTTTCTAGGTTGTCGGCGACCATATATAGTTCTTGCAGTGTCTTTTTCAATTCGAAACTTCACACTATCCTTGGATCCCTAGTTTTATATATATATAGCTTTTTTGGGTACTTATAATGTAGAATAATGAAAAAAAATTCTCAAATTCAAATTTTGTGAACCAGGGGGGGGGGGGTGTCTTTTCCTACAAACTAAAAATGGCTCGCGCACAAAATTTAAAAGTTGTAATCATATTTTGAGTTAATAGATGGAATTTCAAACTTTGTTGGGTTGTTAATTACTGTACAAAATTTCAGACAATTTGATTAAGGGTAACTATTCATTTTATTCTAAAAAATCAGCCTTTCGCATGCTTAATTAATGCCTTTACCTAATTTGCATATTGCTAACATATGCAAATTAGGCAAAGGCATTAAGCATGCAAATAGCTGATTTTTAGGAAAATTGTAACTTTGCGTGAATAGTTAAAGGGCTTAAACTAAACCAAATTGTCTGAAATTTTGTACAGTAATTAAAAACCCGGCAAATTTTCCATCTATTAACTCAAAATATGATTACCACTTTTAAATTTTGTGCGCGAGCCATTTTTAGTTTGTTTGGAAAAGACACACCCCCCTGGTTCACAAAATTTGAGTTCAAGAAATTTTTTTCATTATTCTACATTATAAGTACCCAAAGAAGCTATATATATATAAAAAACCCGGATACAAATAGGTGTTTTGCGAAATTGAGAGCAATTTCAAATCTGTTCAGTTTTTTTTTATACACCCTGTAGAGTGAAACTAGTGGGAAACAGCATTTAATCTGATGCATAAAATTATAATTATTTACATCAAAATATCGTTTAGTTTGTGGAAAGCACCACGTATATTATAATTATGGCAAAGCTTTCGATCCGTAAGCCCAGATCTTCATAATGAGTGCCAATAATATATATGCATATATTTTGCAAACTTTCAAGGAAACTTATATTTACATCAAATTTATAAAAAAATGGTGAGATTGCAAAATATCAAAAAGTATTCGAGATGTAATAAATATATGTCTTCTATCCTATCTACCTGAAGGGAGCCATATTTGTACTGCGGCCGCTGCTTAACGCCCAAGTTTAAAGAATTTAATAAAAAAATAGGGTGGGCACATACCTCCTTTTCTAATAACTCACTATAGTCTTAGCCAGGACCTGGAACTTGAGCCTCCAAATTTGAGATTTGTCTTGAGATTTAACATTTGCATGTGGCGGCAAATCTCGTTGGATGATGTGAATACCAATTGAAATGATTAAAGGACATTAGATTGAAAAATACAAAGAGCTATCAGTTGTATGATTGCTACCTGCACTATTTTGTCAATTAGGGACATCAATTAGGGACACTATTTTGTGCATCAGGGACAGTATACAGTGTACAATCTACAGATTTTTAGTAGTCTTCCAATAGCCTGAATATGATGATCAGATCTAAAAAAGACGTCTTTTTCAAGTGACCGTCCGTCTATAAGACAGCTGAATGGCAGGCTGGCTAAGACCGTGCATGTTGGTCACCCATCCATACATTTTGGAATGAACTGTCCACCCTATAGCCTAAAAATCAGGGTCAGAATATTCTTCATCGGAATCCCACCCCGATACATTCTTTCCATTCTCAAAGTCAACTTCTACATCATATTGAAACCCCTCATCCCCAGCCCTAACACGATGTTGCTCGAACACCTGGTCCATTTCAGCTTTCTTTTTATTGAGTTCAGTGTCATTTAGTTTGTTCAGATCTTCAACATCGTTGTTTGAAATCACGTCATCGTCTTTTTGTTGTGGTAACTGCTCCTGAATCTTTGATAGCAATCTATGAATCTAGTGGTGAACAACCAGAATATACAGCGAGACAGTCAGCAATGTGTACCAAACGTAAAATTATTTGATATTTAGATAATAGGGTGGGTTGCAGTTCAACAGTTACCAAGAAAAAATGAAACCTCATACAGACTAGCAAGTTTTCCTTGACGAGTTGACTTGCTCGTGTGTACGACGAACGAGTTGTCTCGCTCAATTTTTCCTCGAGCCCGCGCTATTTAAGTACTTAAACAATTTCATGATAATTATGTTTTAAAGCTTGTTCTAACAAAGTCAAAAACAGCTTAAACTGTCTACGATGTCACACAACAAAAGCGAATTTCAAAATAACGAGATTTGATGGCAATGGCAGCTCGAAGATGAGTGCGCAATGAGCCAATGACGTGCTGCGCAATTACTTGTCATGTTTTCCTTGACGACCGCACACACGAACAATTATTTTCCTTGTTAAAGAGTTGGCATGACTACATTTTAGTTTATATCCACTTCTTTTTCGTACGCTTAAATAATTGTGCTATCCCCAGTGGACCCATTTGAATCAAGTTTTCATGCTTATAACGCAGGTTTTTCTCATGATTATTATTGTTAGTACAACTACAGTACAGTATCTTAATTGGTTATGAGATCGAATCATTATTACCTGTTCAGAGGGAATTTTTTCTAGATAGCGCTTGTGTCTGCCAGATTTTAAATTTGTTACCATGTCATCCAGACTATGTAAGCAAATTAGTAAATAAAAATTAGTTTCCATGCATACTGTGATTTACTCATTTCCACTTCACTCTTTATTTTATCATAATAATGGAACATGCAAAACCGAACAAGAACGTAATATAATTTATTTAATAATTGAATTAAGTCATAATGAAAATAAAAGATGCATGACTTTATCACCTACTTGCTTTCTGATGAAAAATTTCTAAGAGGCATTGAACGTCGGTGAACTTTACCTGAAGCAATTGGTATAGAAATCATGATTACCTCATTAGTGCACAGTGGTGTTCCCTTAATGAGTTAAAATCATCTCACGTGATACAGAGCGCTGAACAAAGTTGGGCACATTATGGCCCATTCTACTGTTCTAGGGGAAGGGGGCAACCCCCCTCAATGATTTCTGAATCGAAAGCCAGCCTTTAAATGATGAGGTCAATAACTGCATAACAAAGCTGTCATTATAACAATAATTTTTCAACCATACAGTGTATATATCAAGCATATTTTTCGGCTATATATTGTATAAAATTTAAGGCAGGAAAGGTTAAACACCTAAGCAACAGAAGGTGGTCAAATGTTGGCAATGAGGCAATCTAATTCATCCTCCTCTACCCGATAATTTGTGAAGCGTCTGCCAGTAAAATTATTTTAAGTTATTTTAGAGTAAAATTATTTTAATAAAAGTAGGGTGCTGAACACTCCCTAGTCTTAATTGAAGAGTAATCCATCCTGCATTAAACCATTTAAAATAACGAAAGCAATTAGGCCTAGTGCAATTACTGGGGTTAAGTTAAAAAAATGACTAAATGTTAACACACCCAATCAATAATTACATATTCAGTACTTTCTTTGGGAGCCTGACACTCTCATGAATCAAGATGAAAGGCAAGTTTCTGATAGACATAGTTCATGGGAATGAAGCTTCTGGGCTAAGGAGGCCAAGGTTTATGTGGCATAATTGTGGAAGGTGTATTTAGGAATTATATGCTAATTATTCCTACAAAGTAATTGCATTATGTGATAATTGCAACATTTCCCTTCAGCATAAAAACATCTGACATTGGACAAAGAAATAAAAAAGACCAGGATACATTGCAGGCAATTGCTGCTTATAGTGGGGTAAACAATGGTAGAAAAATTTGCACAAGGTGAAACCGATATCAAGGACGCGACAACCAAGATTAACCCATTGAGGACCTGAGTGCTCTCCCTATGACGAATAAAATTGTCTGGAGTTAGCCAGAGTAATATGACAAAGTAGGTACATGAATAATATATTGCGGCACAATACAACTTAATGGTTAACAGAGCATACAGACATCTTTCATCAAATGAAAATATTCTTACATGATTATATAAAATATGAAATGTCATCTTTTGAATTCTGCGCTTGGCAAAGTTTCATTCATTCATCTGTTTTATGACCAAATCACCATTGGTATTGATTGATTTATGGGGATAATTGTAGAATAAATACATATACTCATGCAAAATAGCTGGTCCAAAAGGCAAGACTGAATTTAATGGGATCTGCATAACCAACAGTGGAACAAAAGGTATGTGTAATAAAAAATTGCATGGTTAGCCTGTGCAATGAAATATTCTACTCCATATTACCTGGTCATTATCAGCCAATGTAACCGGGCATTGGGCAACAGTGCTCTACCCTTGGCGAGTAAAATCATCTGGCATTTAGACAGAGTAGAATAATAAAGTATGGTATATATTAACTCGATTAACCCATTGAGCGTTCTCCCCGTGATGAGTAAAATCATATGGTGTTAGACAGAGTAAAATAATAAGTAGCGGCACATTGGGGCGCAATGTAACTTAACGTACAATGTTGCATTACTGTAAAACTAAATGAAACAGAATGACGAATCTGTGATGATCTTTATTATATTTATTGACACCAATACCTCATGACTGACAATCAATAATCAGATGACAATTAAATCAGCTGATTATTTGAATTCATTAGTCACCACACAATACACCGGGCCCTTTCAATAATTATGTCATTTGGCCAGGGAGCCTCGCTCTCATGAATCGTGAGCCAATCACCTTGCGTAACTTACTAATGAGAGCGAGGCTACAAGACCAAAAAGTACATGTGACATAATTATCCAAAGGGTGTATTAGCAGCAATAGTCAAAAGATTTCTGCGATTCTTAACTATAGATCGATGTCTTTATATGACAATGACAAGACCTGATAATTGACAAGCACGTAACCACAACAAGTATATTTTATCAATTATCATTCACCAAATTTTATACCACTCATATTCATATATTACTAAATAAATAAAAAAACATTAGCAGAGGTAGTAGGTGATAGTGGTTGCCTTCGATTCTGTATGTTTCTACAAACTCATGTCTGAAACGCTTCAAATATGTCCGGAAGCTGGGCAACGCACTGTATAGTACTATAGTACGAAAAATAAATACAACTTACCCGTGGCATTTATAACGTAGTACAAGACTAAGGCAGGAGGATCAAACTTAACTCCACACTGACGAGGGGTATACATGAAAAAATCATATAAAACAAGTAAGAAATCACAAAATATATTGTAAAATTTTACACACACAATGACACACTCAAACGTCACAACAAAACAGGAAGTCGACTATTACGTATCGGAAACTAACGGAGTCCTTCGGGCGACTGTCGGTTTTTAATTTGCCCTTTTTTAGTAATTTTACCTCTGCTTTTTACATAAATATTAATACAAAATTATCAAAAATAGTAAACAATGCAGAGCTAGACTTTCTATATAAATATTGATAATGCAGTATACCGAATTAAAGAGGTCAAAAGTGGATTACATTTTCCTGCAGGTAGAACTTTTTGACTTGTTTTTGGAATATTTTGTATGATTTATATTGATTGATAGTTTGATAGATTTCAAAGCTCAGCTGTGTTTTCATATCTCTGAGAATCAGGTCTGC